TGGAGCCGCGGCCCGCGGCTTGCGTTTAGTGTAAAACCCCAACCGCGATTTCGGATAAAGCTGGCGAAACGAGCGAACCAAACGGTACGGCGGCGTTTGAAAATGCCGCCTACACTTATAAGCTGCCCCCAAACGGGCCTTAAATATAATTAACTTTCATGACCATGTGATATTATTCACAAAATTTTAATATAAATTACTCCATACCTTATCAACAATATGGTAGGACAATAATGACGTAGTTATAAAACTGAATAATTATTTTCTCAACTAGCACAAGAAAATTTAGCTTTAGAAGATGGGACTCCACTTGCGTATGCGGCTCTTCTAATCGCAGTTGGAGGCTGAGATATTATATTCCCTCAACTATCAAGTGGTAAATGTACATATCGTCTTACTCTTTAGAAGAAGAAAGCAGATATTAGAATGCAATAAAATTATAGGAATAATTAAAATATGAGGCAATTGAGTGCCCACCATGCAATGTGTTCTTTACCCATGGAAGACCATATGTGCATATGGATGAATCTCAAAAGAGATTCTTTTAACTCTCATGCGAGGTTCGACAACTGACACTAGTGTCAATCGGTGGAGCTTACTTTTCAAAAGTGCAACGACTGACTGAGAATTTCTAGCTCAAACGTACAGGTCTAGAGCCCACCCTTGAACCTGACTAAGAAGCTGACATTTTGGATACTTGCTTTCATTAAAGTCGTGGTCATACCAAAGAATCATTCCATCAAGTAAAGGAAGAAATTAAGATGCTAATTCATTAGAGGTATTGGAGCTGATTGATACGAATAATCCAGCTCAGGTTGAAAACACGTCACTAGAGGGAAACAAATCAAAGTAATCAAATATGTTTCATAGGAATGACTGCAATCATAATTCTAAGAAAAAAAGTATTTTCCGACTTGACTAATGTCCCAAACTTGAGAAACATAAAATATTTATGGCACCTTGTTATAAGCTTTGTTGATCTCAGGGCAACATGATTCAACATTTTCTACACATGTTAAAATTATCAAGTAAGTACTTCGATTAACATCCTAAGATAAGTCAAAAAATTTTTATGATTTACACTTGACCTCGTTTCAACTAATCATCAAGGTTAACACTATCAAGCCACACTCATATCAATAATCCAGGACATGTAAAAAGTATTTGGTGGATTGCACTTGGCCTCATACACACATGTTAACATCATTGAGTTACGCTTCAACCAATAATCAAGGATAGGTCTAACATTTTTAATGAATTTATTTCAACATCTTCAATACATGTTAATGTCGTCGAGTAACACTAACAAATAACTTCAGATAAGTCTAAAATCTTTTATAAATTTCTTATGAATACTTCTACATATGTTAATATTATCAAGTAACCCTTTGATAAATAACCTCCGATAGGTCAAATATCCTTAGTATATTTCTTGCGACGTCTGCCAAACAGATTAATATCATTTAGTAATACTCTTGTTGTTCGTGTTCGGCTCGTTTACATTTCGAGCTTAAAAATTTGTTCGTGTTCGGCTCGTTAGGCTTAACGAACGAGCCGAATACAAGCTGCTTAACGAGCCGAATACGAGCTGCTTAACGAGCCGAACACGAGCTGTTCACCAACAACGAGCCAAATTGACAGCCCTAGCTTGAACGACTTCTAAGCTTTAAAATTCTGCCATGTTGAAGCCGCTACTGCTCGACTAATGGTATCACCAGATTATCATTACTCATCAATGCTAGTAATCAAATATCACTATTTTAGAAATGTTAGTAATTTGTTTTTTTTATGGTTATCAAAAACTATCTAATTAATAATATTAAACTACCAACATGGCTAGATTATCATTATCAAACTACCACTTTTGGACCATGATATCTTAAATATAGTCAGGAAAATTTGGTTCTAGAAGATGGGAGTCCACTTGCGTATGCGGCTTGTTCTAATCATAATTGGAGGCTAAGCTATTATATTCCCTCGACTCTCAATTGGTAAATATTATATTTACGTGCACACCATACAATGTCTATATAGTTACATAAATAACACCCAAACACTAATATTTACATGCATAGTACTTAAATCTTTAATATCACATACAAAAATACTGCTATCACCTATTTTATAAAGTTTAATTTACCTTTCCATGCAGTGTATCACACTAAAGTATTATAAATATAATATGAAAAATTAGCTACTAGATATATAAATATAAAAGAATTTTGCATAGGAGAGATGTTACTTGTGTTCGAGCAAAAGGAGGATTGACCAAATATTTTTCTATTTTTGTTGGTTTACAAAAGGAATTGGCTTTAAGCCCTTATCTTT